AAAAAGTGTAATTAAAATCAACAAGTTGGAACTTTTCAGATAGAATAATTTGTAAGAGCGCAATTATAAACACAACAAGGCTGTAAAGTTTGAGTTCAGGGAACTGGATGTGCAAAAATGCTAATTCATTTCCAGGTTTTAGGACTCATCCCTGTAGTACACTATAACATTAATGATGGCTCTGTTCCACAAAGCCATGACAGTGTGAGAGTGAGCCAACATGAACAATACCAGGACCCAGAAACCAGAGCAGCTAAATAGAGTTCAGCCATATATTTGTTGAATATGAACCATGCTATCTGAGAAATCTCAGATTATCTTTGTTTCCCATGTTTTCTTACTCTCTTGTTGTTCTTTTCATTGTCCAGGGGCGACCACACATTTGCAGACAGCTACCTGACAGTTATTCCACGTGGCACAGAGTTTGTGGTATTCAGCATTGACGGGTCATTTGCTGCCAGTGTGTCAATCATGGGCAGTGATCCCAAAGTGCGGGCAGGAGCCGTGGATGTTGTCAGGTACCTAGCGGCTCTTCTGTTTTCTCTTTCAGACTGAAGCACGTTAGCGTGTAGAGTTGTTAGTTATGTCTTTGTTCTCCTGTATCCTCCTCCTTGCAGGCACTGGCAGGATTTAGGCTTTTTGATCATCTATGTGACAGGAAGACCAGACATGCAGAAGCAGCGGGTTGTGGCTTGGTTGTCTCAGCACAACTTCCCTCATGGCATTGTCTCCTTCTGCGACGGCCTGGTCCACGACCCGCTCAGACACAAGGCCAACTTCCTCAAGTCCCTGACAGAGGTCAGACTGGGAGAATTGAGGGGGGGTCTATGTTCAGTTTTAGTAGTGTAATGTGTGTATGTGTAGTCCTGATCTTTGTGGAATGAAAAAGGAATACAGTTTTAGATGTGAAAATAAAAACAACAATGCTGACAGGGTATTAGTGAAATATAAACTCAGTTGTTAAGAAAAATGCACATTGCCAAACAGTGCTCTTATCCATTTGATTTCAGGCTCACCTGAAGATTTTCGCTGGCTACGGATCAACCAAAGACATCTCTGTCTACACCGCTATTGGCCTCCCTCCCTTACAAATATACATCGTCGGTAGACCCTCCAAGAAGATGCAGAGCCAGTGCCAGGTAATATTTGATTATTTAACATTTAATACTGATCAGTTTGAATACTGCAACTCGTTCAACTAACTAAAAGAAATATCAGTTAACTGAACCAAAATGTAAAAATGCTCCATATTCTCTTCAGTTTACAATATGTCTCTGCTCTGTTCCTCTCAACAGTTCATCACAGAGGGATACGCGGCCCATTTGTCCCAGCTGGAGTACAACCACCGTTCTCGGCCAGCTAAGTCCAGCAGTGCACGCATGGTGCTACGTAAAGGCAGCTTCGGCTTGGGTGCAAACAGCGACTTCCTGAGGAAGAGGAACCACCTGCTGCGCACCATCTCCTCCCAGCCGGCCCCCAGCTCCCCAACGGGCAACATCCACAACAGACCAGAGCGCACACAGAGCCAATCAGACGGCGAGAGGCTGGAGCGGGAACGGCTGGAATGCGTTCATGGCCACAGCCAGGGAGCAACACAGCGCAGCATGAGCATCACAGCAAGCTGTTGGGGCCGCAGCAGCAGCACCAAGCTGGACCCAGGCATCCTCAGCCCCAAATGAGATCCTGGAGACGATGTGAGAGTAGCTTCGGTAGAGTGACTTAAAAATACAGTGCTGAGGAAGAGACTCATGACAAAGATAAAATGCAAAGAGTGAAAAACAGTTGGCTTGCACCAGATGGGTAAATATAACAATGAAAACAATAGGTGCTACAAAACCACTCTTTATAAAACTAATGCCAGTCACACTCCACACACAATATTTATAGACAGGGGCTATGGCTATATTTATTATAAAACACACACAACTCAACAGGCATTTCAAGAAGCATCTTCCTGAAACGGGAACATGCACACAAGTAGACATAGCTTATATTGTAGGAATGCAGACTGTTTCTACTGTTTAGTAAATATTTATCAGTCTTGAATACAAGGTCAGTTTTTCCTCTTACAAAAGGCTTTTAGATCGGAGACGGTTACACATACAAGCACCCCCATGCAACAACACAAAGTGGTTACAGACAGCCTGTATCAGGTCCAAGTGCTGATACTGCACTGTAACTGACTGCTGTGGCCACTGCAAGCACAATTACTATAGAGATCAACTTTGTGCAGAATAGTTTTAAAGCTTTTGTCCTTTTTATGGGATAATCAAGGTATGTTCACGTCTGGGAGCAGACGAAGAATAGGATAAAACTGGATTGTATGGGTTTCTTTTGTTGGTGTGGTAAAGACACAATCATTTGGCCGAAATTGGCATTTTTTTTTAAAGAAAAGCATCATCAGTTATCAACATATAAAAATGTTTGGGTGTGCTGTAAGCCAACAAGAAATGATTTGATCTGTTACTAGCATTTACAAACAGCAATGACTAGATAGTGTTTCACCAAACCATACAGTCCAGTTTTGTTTGTTTTCTAGTCGTCCCTCAGACCAAAGAACCATCCGAGTATCACATGAAGCGAACTGCGAGATTACCCTTTAACTACGGTTGCAGCTGAAACTGTTGCTGGGATTTTATATAGTATTTCACCACATCTCACCATAGTGCGCTGCTGTACCCTCCTGAACCAGTAATGTATGACTCAGCTTTAGGGAAAAAACTGCTACTACTGTACGGTTAATGTGCCAAAGTAAACAGTATAGAATGATATGCTGTACATGAAGAGAAAGGAAATGATTAGGGTCTAATGTGTAAAAAATGGAATAGATTGTGTAAGTATGTAGTTGAATGCCTTAACAAGGCTTGTACATAATTGTTATATTACAGTGCAGATCTGGTATCTGGTCCACTGAAGACCAGTTTTAAGTGTCTTCTTTACTCTTGGGGTAAACACCGCCTCATTCAGGATACACTTTATTGATTGATGATGATAATTATTGTTATTTAAGATTATAGATATTTTAAAATGTATTGATTTTGTGAACAAAATGTGTTTTATGATTATTTTAGCTATATTGTGTTTTTGTTTTTTTTCTTTTCTTCAAACTTAAGTTGCGGCAGCCAAACTCAAAGAGGTCTTTGCCTGGCACAGTATTGTATTTTTATTATTTTACCTTGCAGATCACCATAATTGTATCAACAGAACTGATATCTTGTGTCATATATTGTATGTTTGTTATTATCTATTTTGGAAATTTGGGATATGGCTTCTCTCTGGTTATCCCTAAGCTGTAAATGAGGCGTTGAATGTGCTCATAGATAATCCTCCTTAGGTTAAGGTCTCTTTTCTCTGTTCTGCTGCGCCTTTTAGAGGAAGAATAATCTGAAAATTGTAAATTCTGTACAATATGCTGTCAGAAGTAGGAACACAGTTCTTTATGCTGTTTGCCATTTGTTTCTGAAATGGGTAAAAGTTTGTGATTTATTCATTCAAACGATGTTTATTTGTCCCTCTAATAGGCATATACAGAGCTGACTGCAATGGACCAATTATGGGCTCAAATGTAAGGGGAACCGTGCAATATTACTCAACCACACCACAAGATCAAACAGACTGTGCTGAGTGAATGTCACAGTGCATTGACAATCAGTTCAACAGGCACATATTCTACAGGCGTCAAATTGCAGAGGGAATCTGAGCACATCGTAGCACTCAACAAACGCACAGAGCAACATTTGTTTTTAAAAAATAGGACAGATCTCGCACAAGAAAGTGTGCCTGACCTAATATGTTGTTTTATCCTGTGGACTTTGTTTTTAATGTTTTCAGCACATTCAAAAGTCAGCACTCAGTTGCCAGTTCATTAGGTCCACTAACAACAATGCAGTCCTGCAACAGATCCAGATACCTTCTGGAATACCTTTTAGTTTTAACTGTTTTAGAGAAGTTCAACTTACTGGTCACTTTGGCGGCTGTAGTTTGTGGTGCTGTTGAATTGTATTGTGTTATATGAAAGGTGTTTCTAATATTTTGTCCACCCCTTTAACAATCAGGGTAGATTTAATTTGTAGAAAACTGAGTGTGCATCCCAATGCATAGGTATCTATAACTTCCTTTTTCCTGTTTCCTAGCTTCCTGTAACTACTGTCCCCTCTGCAGTTTGACCATTTCAGAGATTTGGCTTGAAGCCATATATACAACTCTTTCAAAAGCTGCTGATTAAAGAAAGGCTGTTTGTACACTGAAAGTAACTAGTAAAAATGACAATGCACTCATCTAAAGTTGGCAACTACTCAACCATATTCCCTTCCTCAGAGATCTGATTTACCTGGATATTAAAAATCCAGAGAATGTAAAGACGAAGCGGTGGGGTTAAGTTTGGATACCTCTGGGCAGACAATCGCTTCAATTATGCTACTGAGACACACATTACCAGAGGCCTTACAATTCCCTTTTCTGCCTTACATTGTGTTTTGCGAGGCAGCCTTGAATGAACGCTGTTCACTCCCGAATTGACTTTATGGAAAAAAGGATAGACTGTTCATGTAGACTTTACTTTGTGGAAATAGGAAATGGCCATATTTTCTTAAAAAAAGGCTTTGTCTTGTTTTCATTTGAGGGAAATGTACAAAGGAGAAATCTATTCCACCCACATTAGGCAATCCATTACCATCTGAAGCTTTGTCCCCTGGGTTAATGCAATGCCACAGCTCCTTAGCATTCATAGGCTGTGTATATATATATATATATATATATATATACACACACACACACACCACATACCTTGATAAATATTTTCATTGTACAGGGTGTGTATCTTGTAGGTTTTGGATAACTTCATTTTATCCATTCCCTTGTGTTTTTATGTACAGTGTATAAAGAACATATAAAGAAGTACCAAGTAATTTGGGCCTTTTTTTCACACTCCAAATGTTAACATTGTCATGAAGAATTATGGTTCAGCTGGATGACAAAGGATGGACTTCAGACTATTCAGATGCAGAAAATTTGTTGCAGTTCACACCAACGGTTTATTTTTCTGGGATCAGTTCACACAAATGCAGATTTCTTCAGAGAACCAAAAAGAAACAAAATGTGAGATGTAAAGGTGAGAAGTGAGTGGGTGTAGAGTATGTAGCCAAAATTAAAAAATAATTAAAAAATAGGGTTTGTAGAGTCCAACAGGACACTGAACAATTAAATCAGCTTCTTAATATGTTTGATTTTAACTATAAATCGTTAATTTCAAATTAAGAAAACATTTGAATGGTCACAACTCTACAACAGGAAACTGACAACTTTACTCGCAGTCCATCCAGGGTCGATCCTTAAATGTACTCACTGATACGCTTTAAAACGTGGACAAAATAAATGAGCACTAATCAGTGTAAACACGCATCGAATGTGCAAACTATTTGTCTTCCTCGTGTACAGTTCCCATGGCAGATCTCAGCTGAGTCGCTCACCAACTCACCTGCTTCTGTTTATATCTCCTTTGTGATCAGCGTGGACTTAATAAGGCGAATCAACAGGAGAAACCGGCTTTCACCTGGATTAAACTCACTAGTGTACGGCTACAGTACGCGTCCCAGGCATTGTGTACCTTCACCAGTATAAACAGTTCAATCACAGGTCACTGTTTGAAATCACGATATAAAAATTCAGCTTCTTGACGCAGTTCAGGGAATCTTCTACCTGTTGACTCCCAGTTTCCTCTGGAAGGCGTTCCCGTCTCCCTTGGTGGCTTGCTATGGGGATGAATGGATGTTCACGGTTAGATTAACTCAACGATTATTTCACATTATACTTGAAACGTCCTCCCGTACCTTGTTGATGTCTTTATGTTTTTCTCGGCTGACGATCTCCTCTATGATCTCTCCTTCTCCTCTCACCAATCTGGAAGAAAGGATTTTTTTTAAGAATGCATAAAAACATTCAAATAAAATAAAAATACAGGAGATAAGCAAGTAAATACTCAACTGAGGGGACCTTAAAATGCAATTTAAAGGCAACATCATAACATTTAAATGATGGCGGTGGAGCGTTTGATCATTCTGTGAATCCGAACAGACTCCACCTCAGCAGGTAAACGTTATATTGTAAACTAGTAGAACAAACTCTGTAGCTCTGGTTTACCTGGTGCGTCCTGTTTCAGGGTCCACCACCCTGCGGATCACGCTCTGTCTGGCCTCATACTCCTCTTTAGTGAGGGGTCTCTTAGTGGAGAGTCGGGCCTTCTGTTCGTCGGTCATCACTGCAGAGAAAAGTGGAAAAAAGTAATTTTCTTTTTATATTTATATTAGGTGATATGATGATACATACTGGGAGACAATATACATCACTTTCACCACATCCTTTATATAATCCTGTCCTCTTAGTGTCTCTTAATGGTTGCATTAGGCCACTGTGGGAAATCTTGGAAATGAATGAGGAGAACTTTATATAATCTTTGCCTCAGTGTGATTTGGGGACCTTAAAAAGGACCAGTGTTTAGGATTTAGTGACATCTAGCGGTAAAGTTTCAGATTACAGCTAACTGCAAATTGCTCGAACAGCTCTATCTACAATCGTCTGTTCTGGTCTAATGTAGAAACGTGGTGGTCTAACAAGGCGACCCACTGCATCTGTACATTATATTCAGGTGATTTTACACTAATGCAAACATACCTGTGAATATTAAAGTCCATTTCTGCCACTAGATCCTCCTAAATGTTACAAACTGGAACCTTTAAATAGTCCGGTATCTACAACTGCTCTGCCTTTTCTTTACAAAGCTCATCATATTCAGGCTTTTGTTGATAAATTAAATGATACGAGTGTGTCCGAACATTAGAAACACCTCTAAATAATCACTGAACTATGACCTCAAAGCTAAAACATATAATTTAATCAACAACTCCATTAAAGTGTGAACAAAACTGGGCCTTCTGAGCACCACAGGAGTTGACTTCATGGCAGAGCAGTTGCATTGGACCTGGCAGAGGGAGAGCTAATAAAGTTTATTGATACTATTATTTTTATCCACATGGTGACGTCATCCTTTAAATTAAATATCCGACCAACAGTCAAAACATCAAACTTTTAAAATGATATCAAATAATAAATAAATGTCCCACCAGGTCCGAGCTCCACTGCCCCTTCATCACTCTGCCACACCTCCAGGCAAGATGGAGGTTTCTCCACCGGAGGACCGGGCAGCTGCACCACCTCCACTTTCTTCTTCTCCTTCTTCTTCTTCAGTAGCTTCTCCTCCTTCTTCTTCTTCTTCTTCTTCCTCCTCTTCAGCTTCCTCAGCTTCGCCTTTTTCTTCTTAGACTTCTTTTTCTTGGCTTTACTCTTCTTCTTCTTCTTCTTCGTCTTGTCCTCGCTCGACGAGCCGGAGGAGGACGACGAGGAGGAGGAGGAGGAAGAAGAAGAGGTGGACGACGAAGAGGAGGAGGAAGAGGAGCTTCTTCTTCTACGCTTCTTTGTTTGTGTTTTCACACCTGGGGGAGACACAGAGGAGAAGCTGAACAGAGTTTATCTCACAGACTTTAATCGCTTTCACCTCGTTTCAGCCCAACCTGGACTCTTCTTCGACGGTCTGCTCCTGCTCCTGCTGCCGGATGAGGAAGACGAGGAGGAGGATGAAGAGGAGGAGGTCGAGGAAGAGGACCGTCGTCGTTTCTTCCTCTTCTCGCCAGCTCTGTCCGGAGATCTGCTGCGGTCCATCACCGAGACAACACGACGATAAAAACCCGACATAAAGAGACACAGCAGCGACTGTGTTGCTCGTCTTCTATTTCCTTCCGTCCGGCGTCGGGGTACACACTATAAAGGTTCCTAGTTCCTACTTTTGAAGGGAAAGTAATCAAGTACATTTACTCAAGGACTGTACTGAAGCACAATTTTGAGGTACTTGTGCTTTAGTGGAGTTGGTACTATTTACTTTTTACCACTCTACATTTATTTGATGTTTTTAGTTCCTAGTTACTTTGCAGATTCAGATTACTAATACAAAATAAAATCAATACATATATTCTAATGTATAATTATAGGTTGAGATAAAACTTTATTGACATTATTCTGAAATGGGCCATTGGGCATAATTAATCATTTTGTACTTTTACTTAAGTTACATTTTAAATGCAGAATGTTAACTTGTAAAAGAGTATTTCTGCATTGTAATTGTTCTTGAGTATTTCTTTCACCACTGGTAAAAACAGAAGTACGTAATAAAAGTGTCAAGACCACAATGTGAATGTACTCTGTTACAGGTAATAATCATGTCAAGTAAAAATAAAAGTATAATCAGAAAAGTACGGTCTATTTGAAAAGTGTCCTGAAATAACTTTTTATATGAATTAGCACTATACAAATAAAATAATTACAAAAGTGTACTTAAGGCATGAAAAGTAAACATACTCATTCTCCAGGGTGTTATTTAAATGGATTATTATTACAGATACATTAACATTTTACAGTTGGAGTTGGTTGAGGTGGAGCTCATTGTACATTTTGTTATATCCTGTGTAGTGGTTCCCAATACGGAGATAAACTGAAAGATGAATCAATGAATAAAAATATATATTTATGTATAATGTTTTTACTTTTCTTATTGTAAAATACTGGATACTTTCAACCCTCCGGGACTCATTAGAAATCCTTAAAATGACACAATGTGAATATCACTCTTTGGTGAAACTACTCAAGAACTCATCCACACACCAACACCATAACTAATACATAATAAATGAGGGATCACAAGTAGACTTTGCTTTGTTTTAAGGGATTTCAAACAGCAATATTCCCTTCTTTCTGCTTTTGATATATAACGCAGTTAATTAATTAAAGTCCAAGTGGAGCAGATTGCACAGGCTCATCTAATAGATTTTCTCTCATCCAAAGAAAAACCTACAAACTCAGTGAAACTACACAAACTCTCCACCTGTTGCCCTAAGCTCTTCACAATAAAACTGTGTTACCTCACTCAATACTGAAAGAGAGTTAATCACGTCTGCTTCTTATCATCAGGTTAAACAAGGACACTGAGGTGATCAACAACTGAAAGAAAGTCTCTGTGGGAGAATTTGACCCTGATTAGGTTTTAGGGTTGCACTAATCATTGAGGTCTCTTGTCCCCGTCTCCTGCTTCCATGTCACATAAAAGTGAGTGAGTGAGTTAAAGGAGTGGAGTACAATAATTGTGGGGAAACTTTTTATAATTGGGGTTGAAAGAGAATCAGTTTGTCATTCAGGATATGATTTTTTTTTTTTTTAAATCGAGACCCAGTTTGTATCTGGTTAAGAGACCATTTATTCATAGAGGTCTGTGTTGTTGTTGTCATGCCAACTACAGAAAGTTGGATCAGACGTTGAAGGCAAGAATAAGCGGTTATTTAAAACTGACGCTCAGAGGCAATTACTTATAATAATAGTGCCTGAGAATTGAGATATATTTGGAAGAAGGGCATTAATGTGAATGATACTGTAGAAAATCACGGTCACATTTATTCACTGTAAAAAGAAAAAGACACAAGAACATATTTGTAATATTTATTTCAAAGTTTTTACAAAGGCAATTGTGAATCTTTAAAGCTTGTATATTGATAAAACATACTTGTTCCTGATGATGTTAGCCCTTATCACTCTTGGTACATAAGGCTAAACTAACGCAGAGAAATGCAACCGACAGGCTTCAATTCTTCTGCATCAACTGCTTTCCAGCTTAGTTTAATACTGTGACCTGCCTCCATTCAGGTTTAAATATTATGTCACTGTAGCAATAAATAAAAACAATCTTTCAAGATTCCTTAAAACTGATAAATACTGCAAATATCTGTTACATAAAAACACACAGCTGCATGAGTGAATGTAACAGTCGAGAACATGGCTGGACTTGAAGTTAGGGAAGGTTAAAGATGTCACCAGGAAGAGAGCATTAAAGCTATCATCTTTCCAGTCCGTGTGCAAGGGGAGCTCTTCAGGTTGCTCCAAGTAAAAAATGAGAGGGGTGGCGGTGTTGAGGGCGGGTGGGGTGGCGGTGTGCGGGAGCCGGAATGTGTCACCGTTGCTGGGATTTTCTTCGCCCCATTAGGACGCAGCCGCCATGCGGATCCTCTCTGGGGGATACAGCAGAACGTTCTTAGCGGCTTTGATGGTGTTTTTCATAAGCATGGCCACAGTCATGGGTCCCACACCTCCAGGTACAGGGGTGATGAAGCCCGCCTTCTGTCTCACGCCTGAATGAAGATAAGAAGAAGAAAAAAATTAAATAAAAAAAAAAGGTATGCTGTTACGAAAACCCACGAGACCAAGGATGCAGAAATAAGTCACAGTCACAACCTTACCTTCAAAATCCACATCTCCAACCAGCCTGTGCTTCCCAGTGACCGGGTCCTGCACTCGGTTTATCCCGACGTCGATCACGGCTGCTCCCTCTTTGATCATGTCAGCAGTGATTAGGTTTGGAATTCCTGATACAGATCAGTAAACACACAGTTAGACAACAGAAAGAATAGTAGAACGTGAATTTACTAAAGAAAGATTAGATTTAAACTGTTCAGTCACAAACCTGCAGCAGCCACAATGATATCAGCGATTTTAGTGTGCTGGCGAAGTTTCTCCTTAGGAGTGTAACGGTGAGAAATGGTCACTGTGGCATCACCTGCAACAGAAATAACATTCAGTATTCATAAAATATAAAAATAAACCCTCACTCTTTGTACACACAGATAAACTCAAGTGCACTATAACCGACCTCCAGGCCTTTCATGGCGGCCGTCTGTGTGCAGTAACATGGCGATGGGCATGCCCACATTCTTGGAGCGTCCTGCAACCACAACATTCTTCCCAAGAGTAGGAATACCTGAAAGACAAGTATTCCGATAATTAGATTCAGACAGTACATTCAGCGGGGTTTCAACTTAGGAGGAAGTAAGCAGTTCCTCGTGTTACCTGTGCGTTTAATGATTTCCATCACTCCCCAGGGAGTGGCAGGAAGCATGGTGGACTGATCCAGGCACATACGGCCCACATTAACTACGTGGAAGCCGTCCACGTCCTTGGTAGGGGCAACTGCGTTACAGATTGCACGCTCATCAATGTGGTCTGTCAGGAAACAGAGACAAGTTACAGTCAGGTAGATCTCAAACATTTTGTTCAAGAACCTGAGTGAGTTTATAAAATGCTCTGTGTATTCCACTGTTTCACTGTACCTGGCAAAGGCAGCTGGACCAGCAGGCCGTCTACACGATGGTCTGTGTTGAGTTTATAGATCAAGTCCAATAACTCCTCCTCACTGATGTCTGAATGCTTGAGAATTGTCTCACTAGAGATTCCTGTGGGAGGTTGAAGTGAGAAAACAACTTTAAAAAACACAGCCGTGCATTTGTTCCTTTTGTTGTTATATTGTGGAATAAATGTGTTTAATAAATGAGGACTGTGGGTGTTATTTTCTTACCAACATCAGCTGCCGCTCGTGTCTTATTCAGGACGTAGGAGTGACTGGCTGGGTTGTCTCCCACCAGAACCACACTGAGATGGGGTCTCCTGTGGCCGGCGATAACCCATTTCTCCACGTCAGCCCGGGCCTCCTCCCGAATCTGCCGTGCTAGCTTCTTTCCTGAGATGACCACCGCCTCCTGTCTGAAAATTGATTGACATTTAAAAAAACACTTGAGTGTTTGGACATACAGTCGATAACTTATATTTTAACAAGCTGAGATTCTGCTGTTATTAAGAAGAAGACAAAAGGGGGTAAATAGATCATTCTCTTGTCAAACAAAGTGCACAGAGCCAAAGTTTAACAGTTTAAAAGGTCTTAATTAATAAGAGAACAAACCACAAACAAGTAATTACACTTTATAAATAAATAAAAATGAACATTTCTTCCAGCTCGACAGTCAACAATCTAATCTAAATCGTACAAATATCACTTATCTACTGGACACGGTCTCCTTTATTACTGTTGAACAGGACTTCTGATACCAGAAACCTGTAATCAATCTCAAGCATTCGGCCTGAGCAAGCACCAATTCCAGCCTCTAAAATTAGACGCAGCACGTCTCCACCTGACAGAGCCACATGCTCAAAGAGCACTTTTATTGTACTTACAGTATCGTGTGTTACGTGTTATATGTTTACTATTATAAATCCCACAATTGTGTTGAATTGGTAGAAACAAGGAAAATAAGTCAAAGGAGAGGATTTTATAATTAAGTGCAGTCAGCGGGACCTGATGGTTAAAACTGGGGGGGGAAATGCCACTGTATGATTATACAAACTGGGTTGGTATGTTCTGCTGCTTTGTCCAAACTTCAAAAGCATCAGGATGGTTATGAATTATATAACAACAAACTGTAGCTAATAACTGAAGAGTAATGAGCCATCAACAGTGATGTAACCACCCTTTTATTCTGCCAAAACTAATTAAAACCGTCGCAGAAAAGTATCACATCTTTGGGTAAAACGGGGTTAGACCATGGGGCCAGTGTACCAGGTCTCAGAGGAAAATGTGTCGAGATCGCAGGGTGGCACACTGCTCTTTAACCTCTTCAAAGTTTAAACACAAACATGATCTACTGAGGAGAAAATCTCTTTTCAAATGTGTGTGTACATTTTATGTAGCCCATCTTAAGGGAGACCCACCTCACAGGAGACATGTCTTTTTTTATGTTTTTCTTTTTATTGTTTTATATATTTTAATCTGATTAAAGTTACTTGTTGCTATCTCCACTTTAATGTAAAGAGTTTGTGTGTAAGTGAAGTTGCATGTGTGTGTGTGTGTGTGTGTTTTGTGGGGGGGGGGGCCATAGGTCTTACATAATATGCCATAGGTTTTAAATGTGCTCTTGTGCTTGCTTCTGATCATGTGCAGCCACATGAGGTTTTGGATTTTAAGGCGTGTGTGCAACATTAGTTCATTACATATATTTAAGTCATGCTGCACTCAGCAAGTTTTCAATAAGTACCTGCACGGGGTTCCTGCAAATGTGCCATCTGGACGATGCCATGTCCTCCCACAAACAATATAAAACCTATTATTTTTTACTATTTTCGTGCGTGTCAACCAGGACAAAATGTCCTTAATGCATATGTTTCCCCTGTTTGCAGAAGCACACCTCGGCCTCCAGCTGAGACCTGTCTCCCCAAGCCACTGGATGCAAACACTGAACACGATTTCATCAGCCACCCTCCCGCTGCAATGTTACCGGCAAACCGCTAGGCGGCGCAGCTCCAAAATGAGACCAACCGAGGACATTTAGTTCAATATACATCAAACAAACTCCCACATAATTATAATAAAAACGACCTTATCCGCTAACACACGCTATTACAGAAGACCGGCGAGTGACTAAACATATAAAACATGTCTGCATATCTCCTCAGTTTGAAGAGAAGAGCGCCGAGCATGTCGGTGAAGTGGGATTAAATTCTCACACACACACATTAAAATGAGATTTGAGAGCCGGGGGGTCGCACTCACCTCGAGGCGGACGTGTGCAGCTTACAGACTTGATGCTGGGAGTGTTGGCACAGTTTCCTGAGAGTCCTGACGGCTGCCATTATGAGCGGGGAAAAGGAAAAGGAAGGAGAGAAAGAGAGACGGTAGATTACGAAACACCACCACAACCACCAAACCCGGGCTGACAGAGGAGGAGGAGGCGAAGAGGAGCATTTAAAGACCCTCCCCCCCCAACCTTCCTTTACGTAGGGCGCCTGCGTCACTGTTATCCACAGCCACACCTCTCCTGCACATCAGATACCATACTAACCCAGTGAGTCTCCAATGAGCTGGCCCCCACAGCAGGGAGAGGGCTGAGGCTATCTACAAACACACACACACACACACACACACACACTGCATGTTTATTTAATGTTTTTCCATCTATTTCTTGCATTTAAAATGTTACAGCATAAGTAAAAGTACAGACCTATTGTTATCAGCTAAGAATATTATAAGTTAAAGGAGGTCTTTTGCAGTTTTAAGCAGCATTTTCATGTTCAATAAACAAAGTACTCCCCTGGAGCAAAAAAGAAGTACAGTATTAATTAAATATTCAAGTAAATTACTGCATTTAAATAAAGCACTTGATTAAATGTACTCAGTTACTTTCCATGGATTAATAAACCTGTTGGGGTGGGAGCCGCAGGGCCTCCAGCCCTCATTATATATGTACAGTGCACACATTAGACTACAATATAAGCTAAAACAATTAAGGTTATAAAAGACTCCATGGAGTCGCTCCCAGTCTATGAATGGACCTACAGATGCACTAACATCAAAAATGTTCTTGTTTTTGTTGCAAAAATAATTCTTAACAAATACATTTTAACAAAAGATATTGGGATACTACATTTTTGCAGATTAACTGTAGTTTCCATATGAATAAATGGCCTTCTGTGTCTGAATGTTGAAGTCATTGAAGTATATTATATTAGCGGACAGAAATTTATTTATTCAGTCTATGCCAGTGGTTGGGGGGGGTCAGGAGCCCCAAAAGGGGTTGCCAGAGCTTCAGGAAGTTTGATCTTAAGGTGTGTCAGAAAACTTAAAAAATATACACAGTAGGCCTATATCTCAGCCTTTGGTCCACTTCTGTTAAGATTTCTAATTGTTAAGTAAATTGTCTAATAGAACAGGGCCAAGAAAACACTGAATTTGTCCAAAAAAAGAAGCCTATTAAATATGTACGACTGTTACAAATTCTAAAAGAAAAACACACAATACAGACAGAAAATTGTATTAAAAAGTTCCCTAAAGTGGAAATAATCCGCTCAAAATGCATCCAAATCACTCCTTTTACAAACTTCTTGCAGTCACTGCGCTCACTATGTGGGTTCATTGTAGAGTTTTAAATATAATATGGATTACAAATACAATACATAACTTAAGCAAGTTCACTAAAAGACAGAAAAAGCTTGGGACTCTGTGCTGTAGCGCCATGTGGCCAGCTGCAGTACCTACCTGCCACCGGGAGGGGGCGACAGTCTGCCTACTGTGCTCCTATAGAGCGCAGCCGATAGAGGAAGAGCCACTGTGGGTGCAGTTCATGTTAGCCTGAAAACGACGCTGTTAGCAGACAAGTGTCTAAAACAAAATCCCTGCGTATTAAAACCAGGATTAGGGGTTGTAACCGAGGCTCTCCGACGACTGCTTCGCCAAGATGAGCTTCCTGTTGTAAGTAAAAGTAAAATATAGCTTGTTGAACTTACAGCCGCAGCTTTGCGGTCAACGTTAGCTTAGTTACGTTTCTTACGAAGTTGCATCAAGGGAAGTAGCCGACGTTAAAATAAGACACAGTTACAGAAAACAAACATTGTATACGTTAAACAGTCAACTTAAACCACTTGTGTGTTTTTTTTATATGCGTTAGTGTTAAATATTCGTCGTAACATTAACTGTTATCTGTTTATTTATAGCTCCCCAACTAACGTTATAACTTTGTTTTAACCAGTTTCAGTCTCGAGTTTGAGCCTCATTAATTAACACCAGCCAACAGGTTGGTTAGCCAGCTGAGCTCACACAATAACTCGTTATTATTACTCTTCATCCACACCTTTTGGCTTCATTTCTTCGCTAGCTTGAGCGCTAATTACCTGCCCCGTTGTTTACAGTGTCACTGGCTCATTTCCTGTATGTGTCTAAACCACCATAACGATATTTACATGACACAGATTAGACAAGTCACGCATCTAGTCACGCTGAAAACAAGCCAGAACAAGTAGGCATGAGAAATGTGGCAGTGATTACACATCACGAGTATCGTTTCTAGATGTTGCCTAGATGTTCACCATGATGCCTTCCTGCAGCTGCTGATTGCACAAACCCAGACAGGAAGAGGATCCTCACATGTGAAGGCCCAAGATAGAGGGGAGAGGGGGGGGATCTACTCCTACACAAGTCTTGTACACAAAATGTCACTGTCCTGGCTGGTGTACAGTTCAGCTCCACTGTTTTGTGTCTTCGCAGTGGCAGTCGCTCATCAAAGACCTTCAAGCCGAAGAAGAACATCCCAGAGGGCTCGCATCAGTACGAGCTGCTGAAACACGCCGAGGCAACGCTGGGCAGTGGGAACTTGAGGCAGGCTGTCATGCTGCCCGAGGGAGAGGATCTCAATGAGTGGATTGCCGTCAACAGTGAGTGGATGAACGCAGTACACCTATTTAAAGAAACCATCGCTCCGTGCACAAACCACCATTACATCACTTATCACAGCATAAGTGATACTTGTACAGAGGTTGAACATTTTTATCACCTAGTCGGGGAAAGAAGAGCCAAAACAAACACACACAACCAAACTGTTGTGGGTGTATGTAATGCTGTCTAAAGGGGGAGGTTGTACACTGTGTGCATTGTATATAAAAACTCAGATAAAACCAACGTATGTATAGAAATGTAACGTGGAAGCATCAATGTTCCTAGAGAACAGAAACTATAATTCACCCTTTCTTTCTTTCTTTCTTTCTTTCTTTCTTTCTTTCTTTCTTTCTTTCTTTCTCTTAGCGGTGGATTTCTTCAACCAGATCAACATGCTGTATGGCACCATCACCGAGTTCTGCACTGAGACCAGCTGCTCTGTGATGTCTGCTGGACCGAGGTAACAGCCAGCCGTGTCCTTCTTATGCATGCAGCTGCGATTGTGATTGATACTGTAAATATGTCATTTAACATATCTTATCTAAATCTTGCCCTACTGTGATGCAGCAAACAGCTAAAAAAAAAAGTGAGCTATATGTAATTTGGAAAAATCCCCTGAAACAAGGGAAACATTTAAGCTGATGTATGTGTTTACGTAATTTTAGGAAACAAGGAACTTCACACGAGTTTGCAGAGACGTGATGTGCTACGTGCTCTTACAAAACTTGACTAACAGGATAAAAAATGACACATTTATAGCTGTGCGTCACAGTGATACAAGTAACACAGACAGTAATATGATTTTATAAAACCTTTGTTACGAAAGGCTCTGAATGAATTTGAGTTTTGAATGGTTGAGTCAAACAAATTGAAATACATCATCTGAATGTCACATGAGGGAAACAGGAATTAAACTTTGCATGTGGTCCCTGTAGAAGCTATTTAGTTAGAATCTAGATGTGGCACTTCCTCTATCCTCTCTCCTGCCAAGACTGTCTGTGTTCACTCTGTAATCAGGAGGAAGAGACCCGCGTTCACTTCCTGTTGACATAGCTGCCATCAAGAATATGACTGTAGATACTTTCGCATTTCCCCCCTCGGGTTCTTTTTTTAGCGTATCTATACTACCGATTGATGTTTTCATGTCCTGACAGAGCAGAGTTTCCTTCAGAGAGCCTTCATGTCTCACAGGTTCGCTAATAAATCGAGTCAATAACTCGAGAGGTGGCAATTAATTTTGTTCTTTCTCTGTAGATACGAGTATCACTGGGCTGATGGCACCAATATCAAGAAGCCTATCAAATGCTCCGCGCCCAAGTACATTGACTACCTGATGACCTGGGTGCAGGATCAACTGGATGATGAGACACTTTTTCCTTCCAAGATTGGTGAGTTTGGATCAAAGATTTGATTGGTAACTTTCAGTTCAAGCTTTTCTTGATGATTTTCGTTGCATTTATTTTTTTACATTTGCAGAAGTATTTATCTGTCAGTAGAATTCAGCTCAGGGAGAGACAACCATCACTAAATATGCTGCAGTCACATTGTTCTCCAGCAGACCAAGTAACTGCATACATCCCATTAAATTACATTTTTAAAGTTCACAGCTCTCTTTTATTTGACTTTACGTTTACCCTTTGGGAATTAACTCTACATCGTCTGCTTTCATTGCTGTTTTTTTGTGTCCAACAGTCTAGACATTCGTTGATTTGTCATTTGACACACATGTTCTTCTGTGGGGAACATACCGTATATACTATTTCCTTCAGTATTTGTGTAAAATCCATGTTTGACTCACTAAGAAAAGCATATTGGATTTGGAATAAAACAGTGATTATGTGATTAATGAACTGATTTCAGATGTTTAAACTCTGGGCCGAGTTTTAATGTCCTGTATGATACAAATTTGTCATGTACCACCATGACGGTGCAACTAAGCTGTAACGCTTCAATAAGCATCAATATTGTTTCTGCTGTGAAGAGCGATACATTCGGGACAAGCTGTAGTGTGTATTGAGAGGGGAGCCCTATTAACTGTGTACCCTTCTTACTATTGGTTATAACATTATAACACAGCAATTAATAGCCCACAACTGACTGAATTTAACAGGAGAAAACACCATGACACCCAACAATTTGTTTAATACTTGTGCACGCTGGAAAACAAGGACGTCCTGTTGTCCCGGGGACGATAAAAATAGCTCCTTGGACACAAAGATACAGTCTCTGGGACAGTAGCTCTACACTATGTCACATGTGTGCTTGCAAACATAAAATCAATCAGAGAGAGAGAGACCAGTGTTGCCAATTTGCCGACTTTCTCGCTAGATTTAGGCGACTTTATGTCTAACAATTGACTAGCAACAGATTTAGTGACTTATTCAGACAATTAGGGAGACGGTGAGAAATATATTATGTTGATACTGTAATTCAGAGTAGTAGTAGGTGTGGCTTGTGGGGTGTGTTTGCCTTTCTCTCTCACTCTCTCTCCAGATGTCTGGATTAGAGTTTTCCTATAGCTTATATGTAAATAGTTTGAGCTTGTGAATATTTAAACAGTTTATTTGATCCTGTTCTTCCCTTTGTAGGCTTTTTTTCTTTAAATATACAATGTGCCTCTAGTGAGTTTGTGATTATTTGGCTAAATTATAATAATGTTGTGTTTGCTCTGCAGTTTGCAGTGATGCATTTATTAATCAAACAGTTAGAAATAAATAATATAGAGTTTATACAACTGTTTTAAAGCAAGCAATGTTACAGTTGTTGGCCTATCTTTTTTATTTTTAAGTTCTGTTTTTACTTTGTTCCAGTTCTTTAATAGAAATTGTCTTTTTTTTATTGTATAATTTTGTGAGGCCAGGAAAATCCAACAGTAATCAAAGCCTTCAGTATATACATGATGATATTAAAATGTTTTTAAACCTATGTACTCCTGACAGAGAAATAAAACTATATAAAGGCCCAGCCACGCAAAAAAAATACAGCGATGACCTTAAATACAGTTGTGAAACTGCCAGAATTTTCAAAAAATATGTTTGGTCACTTATTTTGGATGCAGCAGTACAATGATCCTAAACATGGCAACCAAGGGCCAAGACAGTGTTCTGTTATTGTCTGTTCATGTCGATCACCTGACTTCAGGCCAGCTGATCATGTGTCTCACATGCTGAAGAGACTGATTGTAGACAGAGATTGAATGCAGAACATTTACTACAGAATGCAAAATCTTATGACTTTGGTAAAAAATTAATTTGGTCCCCTAGTTTAAGTTTAAGGAAAAGAACTACAGTCCTTCACTGTCCTTTTTATGTTGATGTTAAACCGTCACATTGAAACTCAAAGTTAGCACTTTACAATAAAGACCTTTCTGCTTCAGTCCACACTCAGACCAGAGTTTTGATTAAGCAACTAAGCTTAAAGCATCTTAATAAACTTCAGTCTCACACTGATGTTGGCTGCTAGGCTTTGTGGAGGTTGAAACAGCACATGCTCTTCTCTTGACATCAGCATTTTCCACCACCTTCTGTCCCACAGGAGTTCCCTTTCCGAAGAACTTCATGTCTGTGGCCAAAACCATCCTGAAGCGTCTGTTCAGGGTTTACGCTCACATCTACCACCAACATTTTGACTCTGTGATGCAGCTGCAGGAGGAGGCCCACCTCAACACCTCCTTCAAGCACTTCATTTTCTTTGTTCAGGTGAGATGATCCTGCTACAATGTAGAGTTTAAGGGTCCTGTAATCCATACATGCTTGAAAAGGAGACCTGAGTCATCTTTCCATAAAAGTTGCTTTTGAAATCTGCCTGCTGAGGAACTAGTTACATTTCTCTAACATTGTATATATGGCTCTCTAACTATAAGATAATGACAGCTTTATGTATGATGTGCATACAGTGTGTAAACTAATGAAAGTAGGATTAGGAATAAAGCTTTAAATGCTGCTCCTTGATCAGCTCATTGGTCAGTTTCAAAGCAGCAGAAGTGATTTAAAAGCAAAAGCCTTCGCAAGCTACATTACTTTGGTTATAAAGGCCTGACATTGATCCAACACTGATAAGACATAAAAACACTTGCTGTGCTAAGAACAAGATAAAAACGCATCTTAACAGGATGTGGCAGTAAATTATTTCTCTTGTTTCATACATTGTATTGTATTTATAGAAGTTCGGTCTAGACCTGCTCTATTTTGAAAAGTGTCCTGAGATAACTTCTGTTACGAGTTGGCGCTATACAAATAAAATTGAATGGCATTGTACATAACACCCTGCAATGCCTAAGTCTTTGTCTACTGTATGCCAGATGCCAATTATTATGCAAACATTAAGGCTCCATCTGCAACAGTCTTGACATGTTTGAACAGAATCAACATGGATCATTTTCATAAGACCTGAGACGAAGATGCATGAAAGCCAAAAACCCATTACTTGAAGAAGGGGTTCAAGAGAATTTGACGTGGCAGGAGCTTTGAAACTGATGTGTGGTGGGATTTTTGCCTAGTTACACTGACATGTTGTAAGTTAACTTCACTGAGTGTTAAGCATTGCATTGGGCCTTTAAACATGTCAATGTTACTGCACCCTCTATCCTACCTTCTTAGAACTGAAAAATAACCAATCTGATAATGTTTTCTCTCTTTGTAGGAGTTCAACCTCATCGACAGGCGAGAGCTCGCTCCCCTGCAGGACTTGATCGAGAAGCTTGGATCCAAGGACAGATAGACATTTAACAACACATCTCCCCTTTTTTTTAACAGTTTCTTTTTCTCCTTTGTCCCTCTCTATGACCTCTGCTACCTCTATGACTTCTAGTCTCCACTCTTACAATCTGTGCCTTCTTCCTTTCATTTCAACAATGTCTGTACTGTACTTTTCCTCTTATTCTTTCTGTTGTCTTTTATGCTGTCTTTGAGCCTTTTTTTTTCCATTTTGCCACTAGATCATATAAAATAGTGTAGTGTAGAAAGAATATTTTTTCACAAGACTGTGGTTAACGACTCTTTTAGAGCAACCTACTGAATTTTATATTGGACCAAGGACATTTGGAAGTTAAAGTGAAAACCAGCTCTTTTTATTCTCCTTCATATGTTGGCGTATAGTGTTTGTTAAGAGAAAAGTGTTTTGATTGTGTTTAAAACACTTTTAGTTATTCATAGGCAGTTTTCTTTTTGTTAACTTTTAGCTATTGTAATTACAGTGACTGACCAAATATCACAATTTTAGCTTTTTTTAAAATGTCTGCCATTAGCGTACAGTGGAGAGTAACAGGAAAGATGGCAAGAAAACAGTTTACTTTCCACCTACTTCTTACAACACAAGTGTGTATGGATGGTATTTTTTGTCTAACATGAAGGCAGGCACAGATACACCGGTATATAGTATAAAGCTCTCTGTCACAAGCTGGGTGTTTCGGATATCCCACGTATGCTATCATGCTTCCTATTGACATGCTCTTTGACACAGTTGTGAGATGCCTTTGTTCTTGCCCCGCAAACAAAACAAAGCCCCACCGTTGACTGCATTATAGCTCATTCAGTTTAGTAATGCAATATTGTGTTTTGCACATTTTCTGGCTTTTTTCTTGATTAAGATAGTAAAATGCAAGATGTGGTGCTTCCACTGATACGTTTAATCTGCTTGATAATTATTAATTAATTAAGCTTTTATAATCATGGCCCCGTAAAGGAGTTGTATAATAGATCAATCACCCTGTCAACAGTAAAAATAGCCTAATGTGAATTTTTTTAGATTTACTGTCATTTTAGTTCATCTCTGTCATGCAGATTAATTGTGGAAACCTGCATATTTGATCTTTAAATGCTGGTACTAATTTTTTTTAACTACATATTTCCCCCTGGAGATTGGAAGTAGAGAAATAACCATTGTACCTGTGGACAATAAGGACGAGGGACCTAAGATATATGTCATTTTTTTCCACAAATGTCTTTGTTGGTGCATGTATCATGCTCATTTTCTGTGCTTAACTCTTGAGTACAACAGCAGGGCTGTTTGTACTGCCATCATTTTTAAAAACTAATGCAGCTACTATTCCTGATGAATGTTTCATTTGGCAAACTTTGAACAAGGGAATCGGTCCTTCACGTTGGACCTAAATATATATTAGACAATCATGTAACCAATTAGGAGCTGTTAGATAACTCGATGCATCACCAGCAACCAACCGATGTGATTGGCTGCAGCAAAGTGTTCATTTTATAATCACTTTTTAAGAACAATGTGAAAAAAAAAAACATGTTTCATTCACTTGAAATGTGATTTATCCACTTTTAGTCCCTCAAGTTTCCTCCCATTCATTTTATAATCTACAGGCATATCACTATAATTTGAAAGAGTTATTTTAAATATTTTATTTGAATAGATATCACTAGTCCTTCCTTTTGAATCTCGTCACATATTTTGGAAATGTATTACTTTTTCTCACAATTTTGATTTTAAACTTATGGCATGGAGTTACATTTCATATTACATTGTAAAATAAATAGTGGAATTTACCTTTTCAAAGAAGAAACAAGGGCTTTGAAATGATTTAAAAGTTTTATATATTTACAATAATGGTCCAATCAATGAGGATGTATGTACTGCGTCCAAACGTTTGCTGTAAATAAGATCAGTGTTTTATCTGAACAAAACTGTGCCTTACAAACATGAAAATGTCTGATATGACAGTATTGGTAGATCAAAAACTCAATAAACACTGAAAAGACTGCTGTGTTTATTTTCATTTCGTGTATAATGTCTGGAAGAATGTGCAGACGTGTGGATCAACAGTGAAGCTTTGATTGTTGCACTCGAGTTTCCTTTTAAAAACAATAATACAGTTGCTACCATATTAAAGATTGTTTAAATATATATTTTATGAGTTTATATTGTTATATATTATATTGTGTTGCAGTTTGTGGAGCCTAGTGATACTGCTTCTATCACTAGTACTAAAACTACTACAGATAACTTCAGACATTGTTTTTGATATTTTTTTTTTTTGCTTTGTTGTTCTTGAAGCTGATTTAAAAAAAATATGAATTAGAATACAACTTTTCACCCGATCACGTAATATATAATTATATAGTATAGTTTGTAACAAACTAGTTCAGATATTTACTAAATTGTAGGCATAAGCCTGAAAATAAGGCGATCACAAGGTTGGATGTCAAACTACACAATGAACACACTCAAACTTCCGGTTTCACACCGGATGTTGAAGGAAAAGATAACGGAGTCGAAGCTCTGCCTTAAACCGTGGATGTATAAACGCATAAGGTCCAATAATGTGTATGTTTTTACACATTTATGCCAATTTAAGAAGACGTGTTGGTAATATCGGATATTTAATCGTAATTAAAGGCGGTGGTATCACCCGAGACGGTTTCCAAGCGCACGATGTTTATTCAACCAATCAAATCCGAGCCTGAAGGGCGAGCAGGGGTATTTTACCCTGAGGTTGGACTTACAGTGAGCTTCTACCCTTAACCTAGATAATATATACGCCCCTTACACAAACAAATCACCAGTCTGATTAAACCTATTTCAAAATAGGTGTAATATTATAACTTGTTACGGTGGGATTCCCTTTGGTTCCGCCAATGTTAACGGAGGCGGGGTGGATACGTACGTAGACCGCCTGAGAGACCTGACTCGGGGATTGAATACCACACACTGACACAGAGCAAGGAGGAAATAGCGAGCTGTGTTTTTTTTTTTATACAAGCTATCATCAAGTAGTTAGCTGTCGTCTGCGGGTTTCTTTTTGCTTATAAACGCTTCAGCGGATAATTAATTGACAAACGGTAACATCACAGCGGTTGTCCTGGTTTTGCTCGTACCGGGTGGCACCCCCCTCCACCCCTAAAAAAAACCCGACGTTACATTCGCCTTTTTTTTTTTTTTTTTTCTTTCTGGTCTTCTTCGTAAAGAGCATTTTAAAGTTGGGTTAGCGTTAGCTGAATTAACGCTACGTGGTGGTGCTTTTAATGCTAAGCTACGTAGCCAGCTGAAGCAGAAACACGGTAAACAAACCGTGTCGCGACTCTTTGGAGGTGGTTCAAGATGCTGGTTGAGTAAGGTTGACGGGGGGATTGTTAATCCAGGCCACCGTTGTCAGCTAACGTTAGCTACCTGCCTGAAAACACTGGGTGAGCAAAACCGAAAGAGCTGTCAACCAGTTTTTATCAGCTAACTACAGTGGTTGTTTAGATATTATATAGATTGATTTATAGTTATATAGTTTAATAACTAGATGCCACTCGCTGAACTAGCGAATTGACTCATTTCTATGACTACAAAAGATGCATGTTTACCTGTTGTAAACATTAGTAAACATCACCTGAACTGGTTAAATGTCGGTGCCTTCAAGCTGGTTTGTGTCATTAATAACTAACTTTCTCCCCAGGCTTAATGGATAAAGCCATGGCAGATGAAAATACACAGTCATGTGGCAATTGGTAAGTATAAATAAAGTACATAATCGTTCAATTTAATGGGATGGTGAAAACAGGATTTTTATCATTTTATTTACCTTTTTCCTTCTTTTTTTTTTTTAGCAAACATGAAATTCCTGAGTCTAATTTTACTACCCATGAGATCCACTGTCGAAGAAACATCGCACTGTGTGATGTGTGCCAGGAGCCAGTGCCCAGGTCAGATCTCCAGGAGCACAAACAGCAGGAGCATACACAGGTAAACATCTGAACAGCAGTGCTGGAGACTAAAACATAATTCCTGCTACAGATGTGTGCTGCTTTTAGAGCAGGACTAATACCAAAAAGTGGGGAAATGTGTGTTATTAAAACAGCTTGGAACAGCTATTAGTTATTCTGTCCCAACACCAAGGAACTAGTGAACTGTGACTTGTATATACTAGTTTAAATACCCTCTTTTATTTGTCAAGTTTCCGTGTTATAAGAGTAATTACAAATCTAGACAGGAAGACACAAGGGAGGGAACTTTTGTATGTCAGACGGAGATTGGATGAACATTAAAAGTTTCTTTTAATTTCAGATTACATGCAAATGTGGTTTGAAGATTGAGAAGAATCATGTTGATGTTCACCAGGTATTTCTGATTAACTTTTTCCTTCCCTATACATAACTCTAATATTTAACCATCTTGATTTAAGTCTTCCAATTGTGCTTCTTCACGATTGTCGTCTCTTTCAGAGCTCCGAATGCTCTCAGCGGCTGGTCCCCTGCCAATACTGTGAACTGGAGATTGTTTACAGCCAGTCCAAAGAACATGAAGATTATTGCGGTACACGCACTGAGCCCTGCTCACGCTGTAAATGCAATGTAATGTTGAGGGAACAAGCTGTGCATCCAGTCTTATGTGGAAGCCTTACACCGCCCCAAGAGAGGAACAACAGCCGAACAAGTCGCAGTCCAGTAGACCAGCAGTCTCCAGGACCTTGGTTTGAAGCCCACTCCATCCGAAACCTCCTAAGAGCCCAAGAGAGAGGCCCAAAGAATAATAACATCAGTGCGGCAGAACAACAGGCCTTTCCCCGGCCATTTGATCCCAGAGTTTATAACACTTCAAGGGGAACACAAGACTCAGCAGACTGGAAGAATACCGCCCCAAGAAATACAACATTTAGCCACTGTGAGTTTATTGATTATTTTATTTCCTGTGGGGGGAAGAAAGTGTCCACCAGGCTTAATTATCTATTGGCCAAAAATGTACCAATGTATCTTTAAAGAACTGTAAAATCAATTTAAAGGGGCACTGTGGAGTTTTCTTGTTAACAAACAACATGTTAACATTTACTGTTTCTTACTAAAGCACATTGTGTTTATCCACAAGGTTTCAAACTCATTTCCGTCCCCCTAGAACATTTGTAAAGTGGATTTTAATTATATTTTAATGATATTTTAGTGTGCATTGTTTACATACATCTTTTGTTGCTAGCTGTTTTCTTCTTTACTGCCTTTGTGGGTGCGTTGTCGTGCTTCTCCGTGTGTTACTGCCACTAACTGTCTATCGGTGGAACAGCGTGAAACCAGCAGCAGGAATGTGTATCACAAACAGACAAAATGGGGACCCACTTGCAAAAACCTTGCTCCATAGGTCTACTAGTGGTCAAAAACACCACAGGATATCTTAAACTTTTTTATAGCATCACATAATCTTTACTTATTGTTAAAAAAATGCCCACAATTTGAGTCTGTAACACAGAAATGTAAATGTTACTCTCAAAGTTAATTCAAGGCAATCTTTGTCAAATTAATTTTGCAGTAGATATATCCTGAGAAATATCTTTTATTAATATCAATTGAGAGATTAAGCTGGCTGAATATAAAGCTACGGTGGTCCCTAACAGGGCCAGTAAACACATTGCACATGTTGTGTGTATTACAATTTTAACCAGCAATAAAAAATGTTCTGTACTTAACAAAAACTAAGTCATTGTACTTCCACTTGCAGCTAGAATTGTTTTTGGATATAACTGTATAATTATTATTTCTTGCAGTGTTGGGGCAGGGGGATTTTCTGTCTAGCAGCGGCAGTAGTGCATGGCCACATAGTGAGCTCACACTGGATGAGGATTCATCAGGCCTGGACTACATGTTGGCGCTCAGTCTGCAGAGTGATGGAGAATCAGTGGCTGGAGGCGTAGAGGGCAACCTGTGGAGCGGTATCTGGGACCACAAGATTGGGAAGACGCCCAACACTTCCCTAAACTCTCCATTCCCTCAGCCCAATAACAACTATCCAAACTTCACTTCAGGCACAAGCACGAGTGCAGTTCAGGACCTTGATCAAACAGGTGAATGGCAAAATAGTGTTAATTAAAATACTTAAAGTTATTCTACTGTGAGTTTGTTCATGATTTTTAATTATTTTTCTAGATACCATGCTGCCTTGTGAGTTTTGTGAAGAGCTGTTTCCTGAAGAGGACCTCATTTTGCATCAGGTTAGACATGTGATTGTATTCTTTTAGGTACACTGTTGCTCAGTGGGTTGACTCATGATGCTAGATTCTTATGTTAGCGAGCTAACTAAGTGACTGAGGCAGAGTGGGATCAGCCCTTTAGATAACAGGGTCACTGTGCTCACAGGATCCCGATATGGACATAAACACTACATTCAGAATAAATCAAGAAGTGGCCTATGAAGACCACCACGTGTCCCGTTTATAGACTTGTAGAAGCCTGGCTTGTAGTGATAATCTTCTATTTAGTTTTTTAGTTTTTGTTGATTTTCATTTACACCTGGATTGCAGATTGATTAGAATTCATTCTGTCTATCATCTAGTTCATGTTTTAAGCCGGTTAACCGATAGACGCCTTTTATTTTCTGGAATAAGGAACCTGTTATCAGTGACACATCATACATCATAATCTAAAATTGCGCAGCTCTACACTCACCGAGCAAACAGGAGGACAGACAGCTTTTAATTCCAGGTCAATGCATCATATGTTGAAACATGCAACCAGAACCTGATTGACAGATATAACCAGCCTAACAGACTGTGTTCACTGCCTACTGAATTCAGGACTTGCTGACACTTATATATATATATATATATATATATATATATATATATATATATATATTTACACTTAATATTTTAACCTGATTCCAGACCCACTTTTAATTTAAGTTACCGTTCTGTTGGAAGAAACTTGCTGTGACCTACTTATTTTCTCATGGTGCATTCTGTTTTTCCTCTGAATAAATAAATGTAAAATCAGATATCACATTCCTTTCTTTATCTTTGTTTCTGACGGTTCACAGTCCAGTTACAGCCATTGCCTGTTTGAACACGTGGCCATCGTCTCCATCTAGTTGGGACATAATTACTATGTAAGCAGGCTCATCGTAGATTTCAACCACTTCTTACCTTTTATATTCTTTGTTTCAGACTGGGTGCAGCCCCGCCTCTGCCTTTGCATCTTTCAGCAAGCAGCCCGTGTCTCCACCTAGAGAGGACAGGATGAGCAGAAATGCTTCTGGGCTGATGCACAGCGTCCCTGACACACTCGCTTCAAACATCCCCACTTTCCCTCGGTCAGTCTCCCCGGCCTCTTACAGTCCTCCAGCCAGTCCACTAGAGGGCGATGTGGTCATTCCATGTGAATTCTGTGGCGTTGCTCTAGAAGAGGCTGTTGTCTTTCACCATCAGGTATGTTACTAAAACTAAGTTGGATCATGTTACTTGTTGTATAACCTGTGAGAACAGGAAAATTCTTTTGACCTGCTGTAGGATTTCTTAATAATAGGGATGCACCGATTGGGAAATTCTGGGCTTACTGATGTTTTGAAATAACAATTTAACCAATAGCCGATACTGATGTTTTTTGGTGTTATTTATTTGCCCTTTTGTGCCAGGGAACAAAGAAATCTACAAAGATAAGCACCTCTGCCTTGTTGCAGCTCAATCTATTTCTTTACTCATCCAAGATGTGAGAGGCGTCCGTGCTGCCACATGGAGCACATTGGTAATTGTGTGCAATTTGTGCCACTGCCTGAAGATAAACATCAGCCACAGACATCGATGAATGCTGTCTTATTTGCTGATAGGCTGATGTCCGTCATTAAGGCGAAATCGGTGCATCCCTACTTAAAAATGTGGCAGCATTATTGGAATTAAAACGTAATTCAAATATGTGGAATTTGTAGAGACTCCCACTTTATGGTCTGAACAACCAGCCTGTAAAGATAACGTGTTCATGAGTGCGACAACAAGTTGTAGAAAAATGAAATGGGCAGATTTATTTTGCATAATGGCCAATAGCTGATTTAATATCTAGTCAGGGGAAGTTTGACAGCGATGTTGATCCCAGTAAGAATAGATAAAATGGAAATATTTGTTCCAATCTATTGTGATATTTAATTTTTTGTGTATTTCTATACGTAGGACAAGTGTGACATGCGTCCTCAGACTGCCCACCCACTGAACAATCTAACAAAATCATCTGTCAAAAAACCACTGAGCCCTGCTAAACACACCTTTGACGAGACGTCTCCAGATTTCCAAAGGAGATTAAAGCAGCAAGGTAATGTATTTTCTTTTATTAAAGTAACATAAGAAGATTTGATGAAAACAAATCAATAATCAAGAACTTCTACAGAAAATCAGATTTTACACATTTTCAGTACAAACATGCTGTAGTCTCTTTGTTTATTATAGATATTATTATTATGGGGGTGGACAAAATAATAAGTACTAGAGTATTTAATTCAACACAACAAATATTACACAGAAAAATAAAAAGCTAGTTTATATGGATATTTTACAAGATTGCTTTATATTTTTGAATTCTCAGCTCTGTGCATTTGTGTGTTTATTTCATTATTTACACATATCGTGTGTCCTCTTCCACATACAGCTGACTTCTTGGAGGACTTTGGATTTGACAGAGACATGCCACCAGGACAAAACGCAAGGGATTGGCAGAGAGGCTACATTGGACTACCAAGTCAAAGGAAGACGTCAAACTGTGACGTTCCTGTAAAAGACCGACCTCAGCACGGCAGAGAAGCAGAAGGAGCTCAGTCATCTTTCAGTGACACTGAGAAGTAAAAGCAATAATCAAGTCTTATAAAAAATAAATTTAAATATCATTTAAATTACTTTAGGTCTACTCGACCCATTCAGAGTATGTATTTGTGCTTTTTTTGTAAATACAATTTGAGAGTATATAATCTGATCTTAATGTTTGTCCACCAGACTGCATCTACCAGAAAATCAAGAAGGGAGAGAACGAGGGAACATAAGGAATCCAATGACAAAGGTACACTTTATTCTGTTGTTTCCTGTACATTATGAATGCATTGTCTGTGGGGTTAATGATTTGTTTGTTGTTTGTGTCCAAGTGGAAACACATGAACAACGTCTGTGCATTCAAGCTGTGAAGGTTGGAAAACTATAGACATTTTACAAGCAGTAAATTGAGATATTGTGATTTGTCTAGGTGTTGTTTTCCCTCTAAACCACATTTTTTGAGAGAAGTTTAAAATCATTACCCGGCGTTATACAATACGGAGGTTTACCCAGACAGTGGAAATTCTCTTTAAAGGGTGGATTTTCATTTTAAGGCCACTCAACTTACTTTTGCGTCTGTAGAAAGATTTTCAATTGTATTTTTTTCCACTTGCAGTTGCCCAAGAAGCAGAATGAAGAGCAGCAGGAAGAGTGAGAGCAGGAACATCTGGAGAAATAGAAAAACCAAATCTCCTTCTCTGCTTTTCATTTATCTTTTTGCACACTTTTGACAAATGAAACATATACCTATCTGATAAGTGCCTGTGTGAGTATTAGTATCTTGCAGTTTATATTTTGATGAATTTTACTATTAAAGTCTAAGCAAGTCATTCAGTTTATTCATGCATATTCTGCTTTATTCGTTTCAAATGTTTGTGTGTCTAACATCTAACCTTAACAGATAAATTATAAAATGGATTTTATTTACGCTAATTTGATTTGAAGTTCTTTTTTTAACTGTACGAATCGTGTCATGGCTTATTAAGGACACTGAGAACATCAAACGCAGACACATGACTTTGTCAGTGTGCATTTGTGTAACTTAATCTTTACCTTGTTACTTCGGCCAAGGACATTTTGTTTTCACCCGTGTTTGTTTCTTTCAGGATCTTTCTCAGTGTTCCTGTTGGTTTCTGCATCTTTATGTAACCTAAAGCACTTTGCTAGATTATTTTGTTTAAAAAGGGCTTGAGGAACCGATTTGATAAACTTATGCATCTTTGACCAAGATAAAAAAAAAAAACAACAACTGTATTATTGAACATTTGTCTTTTTATACTGTTCAACATTTGTCTTTAATACTCTTCAGTAGTATTTTGATTTTTTTTTTTTTTTAATCACAACTATAGAACTATATATGTGGTGTTATGATGAGAAGGCTTTTGAAGCCATGTCTCCTGTTCAATCTTCTGTTAAAGTAGTGTGTAAAATGTCGTGTGCTGCTCCTCCAAATAGGATTTAAGATAGACGAGATGTATTTTGTGTGTAACATAGGGTCCACTTTAGAAATACATATAAAATAGGCAACCTTGTGCCACAGACAGTCGAGAGAGCATTTTCCTGATTTAACATCCGATCAACAAGCTCAGCTAGTGATTGTGGGTGGACTCACAGCACATGGCTGATTATTCCTGTTAAAGAACAACTGTCTGGATGCTCTTTGTCTTGTGTGGCTATTAAATGTTTAATGAAGACATTCATGGTTTCAGTTTGTATTTTGTTAGTTGTCGTTTCATTCCTCTTTGTACGTCTATCTCACCTCAGATCACCGGTCATGTTACCAAAATCCTGCATAGATGTAAGGCTAAAACGTATATATTTTTAATTCCAGTACTTTACTACTTCATATCTGCCACGCAGGACTAGAAGGAGCTTTAACAATGCTGCAGTTTTGCATGTATTTGACGTGGCATCATAATGTGGACACGTTTCCAGTTTAAATGACTGAATTTAGGAAGATTGGAAGAATCATAGTGAATGCACCATTAATCGTACATAAAAAGGTCCATTAAATGATTCGGCTCACAAAGTTCTGTTACTGTCAGTGGTAGAATAAGAAAATGAAGCATGAAGTATTTAGTATGGGAAGAAATACAGTCGGCCTCTTAAGACCTGTCTGTCACACTGAGTGAATTTTAACAATAAAATATAATACAAAGCTGGAGATAATTGTATCTTTTGTAATGTAAATGTTGTTACTTGTGACTGGTCATTAAAGGGAAAAACAAGCTTAAATATGATTCATTTTTTATATTTATTGGCTGAATAAGGGCAAGTTTTTAAAAGCTCTTGTAGTTGTCAGTGAAAAAACTTTGAGATACTTTTGGCCTATATAGAAATACTGCCTAAGGGGAAATAGGGGAATAAAAGTTATATTGCAAAGTGTTGGTCATGTGAGTCCACAAGATTGTGTTTTTAAAATCAAACAGCAAGTGCAGTTGCCTTTACTATTACTATATATAAGTCACAATAAAACTGCAAATTGGACCCTGTCAATGGGTGGTAGCTACCATTACTGAAGAGCTTGTGTGTCCTGTGTATCTTTTCTGTTAAATTACACTTTTCAGTATTGATACATTTTAAATTCCTGTATTTCCACACAATATGTCTACATTTGAATACTTTTAGGATAATGCAATAAAGTATCCAGTATTTCTCCACCATACAATTTATTCCCGGCCTTACAGCACTTAGACTTTTTGGGATTTTGGGAGATAAAGTTTTATTGCTTTGTTCCTTCCAAGAAAGCTTCCTGGTAAGAACTCAGTAACCTGGTACAAATTATAGGGAAATTAGAGACAGTTATTTAGTTAGATTATTGTATTGAGATATATACAAACAGGCTGTTTGGAACAATAATGTGTGTCCGATCTGTTTTTTTATTTTTATAATTTCCATGTTAAATATGTTTGTGAAACGATTTTAGGCAAGAAATAGGCAACATATTAACAGAATCTTGCCTTGTATTTGATCAGCATTGCCTGGTTTTACAGTTTGACTGATGTCAATCATACAGTAGCTACGTCCGAAAGCATACTTGACTCTAATCTGATGAATAAACATCATAATGTTTGGAAGAAGACTTGAAACGAGCGATTTAGAGTATAAACTCGTTAGAAAACAGTTTACTGAGCTCATAAATCAAGTGAGCAGTCAGGTCATTTTTCCATAAGAGTGAATAGTGTTGTGTTTATTGCAGCCAATGGAGCTCCTCCTGCTGGTCTTTACGTAGAGCAGGTTTTAAGACACTCCCACGTTTAACTTGACTTAACTGGAAGCTCTGTCCATTATATATACTGTCAATGATCTACACCTACTACCTCATTAAAAACTCCTACATGAATATAGGACACAAGCTGTCTCCTACTTCACTGTAAAGTCCATTGTTTACTCACATACAGTCTTAGTGTCTGTGCACTGGTGGCTTCAAGTTTCTACATCACAATTTTTTAAAAAACTTTATTTGCAAAGATAAACAATATATGAACAGACATTATTTGACTTAACTTTCAAAATAAAAAAAGATGGTTTGGAAAATTAACCCCCCCAAAAGAATACATTTTCATATACAAGGGTAAAATCAGAAACAATATACTTGGAAATAAAAGTACAAATACCTTCCCAAAATGAACAAGAATGGGGACAAGAACAAAATAAATGAATAAATCTTCTGGAGCCAGTTTTTAATGATGTCAAAGATCAAGCTCAGATTTTCCTCTTTCAACAAATGACGGTGAAAACATCCTTCTAGTGTCAAACTGCACTGACATTATTCGGCACAGCGAAGCTCAAACATCCGACTGTATGAACAAGAATAAAAACACACTATGAGTGGAGGGATGACTTTAAGTCAAATGTCTCTTTACAGTGTTGGATGAAAACTGCATGTAGAGACATATACATAATGTAAACACACTGGAATTAATCTTTCATACTGTCTATATTAGAGTTTCCACACACACACACACACACACACACACACACACACACACACACACACACACACACACACACACAGGGCTTTGGTGCCTAACAGTGGCACTAATCACCCTCCATACATGGACGCTGTTATGCGTCTTCCCACAGAGCGGCGCGCTTTGAATGAGCGCCGGGAGAAGCCGGGGACGGAGAGGGGCGGGCTTACACCTTTCAGTGGGAATCCTCTGTTCAAAAAAAGCTGCCAACGTCCCCCTTGTAAGAGACTGTTTTCTGTTTTCAGTGCTACCCAATAGACGATAAAAGAGGACCGAAATATGCTCTCCACAAGCGGGACACGGGTTTATTTTCGTTGAGTCTGAAGAAAAGCTCCTCACTTCAATTACGCTTCAGTTTGAGACAAGAAAGAAGAAAGAAAACGCTGCTACAAGTCGTGCAGGTGGTAAATCCACACGTTGAGCCAGATCACACCGAGATTCAACATCCACCAACTTTCTCGTCTCACCTGAGCCTGACAAAGAAAGGTTAACATGTCTGTGGAGAGTTACTCTGCGCTGGATGAGTCCTCCCTCCGAGCATTGGTGAGTTGGATGAATGGAGATGCTTCTGAGCAACAGGAGGTTTATATTAATGTTGTATCAGACTTTTTAATTCCTTTAAATGAGGATGAGGTCTTTAGGTCAGTTGTTACATACTGTAGAGCAGCATGATATCTTAGTTAAAGGGCAACAAACATAATCAGTAACATCATTTTTCCACCAATCTGACTTTACAGTTTGTCATGGCAATGTGTCTCCTTGGATAATCCCAACAGGTGTTCTGCTTCTTGTTGCTCTGTGTGCATTTACAGACCACACAGTACATCATCAGTGTACAGCTGAAAACAACCAGCAACTATTCTGATTCATTGATTAATTGATTCAGTCATTTCTTTATATAATTGTTTGATATCTTTGGGGTCTTTGACTGTGGATCACATAAAGCAACACATTTAAAGAGGTCACCTTGGGTTTTTTTTAATTTCATACAATTAATTAATTGAGAAAATAAAAGGCAGTTTAAAGGATAATGAAAAAAAGTGTAGTTGCAGCTCTAATGAAGACTGTCTGACTGTAAGAAGTGGGACAAGTGGTGGATTTTCGGGGGTCTATCATTGCAGCTGTTGAACACCGCAGTCAAACAGGGATCAGTTTGGTGTTTTTGTACTTAAACTAGTTTAGTGATTTTGATCATTAATTAACCATTTAAGTAATTTGTCAAGCAAACTCGCGCTGTGTTTTGGATTGGTAACAAAAAGTCTGAAGTTCACCTGGACTCTGGGGATATTGATTTGATATTTTCTGCCTCTGTATAGATAAACAATGAATTGATTAATCACTTAAAAGATTGATCCATAAAGAAAATAATAGTTAGTTGGAGCCCAATCTTTATAGATTTATAGATAAAAACTGACTCAAGTAAATGAGATTTCATGTGATTGCTCATGATGACACACGGCAGACATCTATATTACAAAACAGTGGAAGAAAGTAATTTTAATTTCTCTTGTAGGTGATTCACGTTGATATATTACGTTGTGTCCATTACTGAAACAGACATTATGTCACAAATGTGAGCAACAAATCAGTATTAATAAAGTTAAAAAAACAAGACTTCCTGGTTCAGTGACATTAGTCACGTCCTAATTATTTCCTGAGGCAGACGAAGGTAAAACATTAGTCTGTCTGACATCCATCATGACACCTGTACCACAGACACATTTACAGGGATGCATGAGTCAGCCTGTCCTTGTTTAGACATAGTTTCACTGGGTTTGTCTGAATCACACATACATGCAACATTTGTACAGGAAACATCTGGGTGATAGTGTCCTTACTAAGGTTTTTCATCCTGTAATAATGTGAATATATAATGAGCAATACGGCTGTGTGGTCAATCTGTCACATACATTATCTGATTTTAATTTCTACTGCTTTCCCAAGACTGTGAGCTTTCAAGAAAAGGCCAGAAAAACATTTAGATTTCTGTTCTTGAAGATCAGTAAACGTGACAAGAAAAGGCTGTTTACTTTGGATGGAGGCAGGGTATAAATGTGATGTTTTGTTGACCTGCCTGAGACTTATTTAAACTGTACAAAGACTCTGTTTCCCCAACGTCTGGAATCATCTGGCCAAGAGCTTTCTAATCATGAATCACTTAAAGGTCAAACTTTTATCACAAGTGACATTATAATAGTGGGAGAACAGGAGGATATCGAGGAAATGTTTTCATTTCAGCATAAGGATTTACTTTTCACTAGAGTATTGGTTGCTTTGTTTTTAAAGTACATTTATGGGTTTATTTATAGAGGAACAAAGCAGGAAAGAGGGAGTTGAAATGAATGAAGGCTCTTAATGGTCACTACACATCTTTGGCAATGGAAAGAATGAGAAGATCTCTGAACCTGTGAAGTTTTATAATCCTGTATTTGTTGCAGAGCCCCAGATTTACAGGTGTATGCGAGTCCTCTCAGAGATGTTTCTGCAATAATATCATAACATTCAACCTCGGCTCATTGTTATTACTGTCTGAGTCTTCCTGTGTGGCCTGTATCCTGCGAGAGCTCGCTGTAAAAAAAACGCTGGCCTTGTCTAGGAAGAAAATAAAACGCGTATTATGCAGTCGTTGGAATTCATGGGGTTTATTATCACGTGACACTGACGTTCAACGCATTGCTGGGTTAGATTTAAAATGCCTCCTCTTCTTAGTGCTGGATTCATGGAGCTGAGCGTCGTCTCCCACAGCTTCCCTCCCTCAGATGTGACCACCAGCTAAAAGGTCGCCAAGATCCCACATTTTCACTGATGATGTTTGCGGTGACTCGAGTGTCGGGATTTTCCACAGTGAACTCGGTTTGAAAGGAAACAAACTCTGATTAAACTTCTTCATATGGCGTTGTGATGGAATTTAAATTCTGCTCCACGGAGACGTCATGAAAATCTAACACCTCATTCTGTGGCGTTTATATCCAGCGATGGTTGAGGAGTTTTTGTGAATTAAGAATTGTTTTATAGGATGCTCGTAAAAAAGATGATAGACATTCAGAGATGCTCAGACTTAATTAAACTGGTAGTAAAAGCCGGGTGGAGGGGCCTCTATTAAACAACCGTTAGGATAACGAACACAAACTCCAGGCCTGTGTTGTACTTAATGATCTAAACAGTCAGAAGGTCATATGGTGGCCTCTCTAACGCCACTAATCCCATCTCTACTCTTCTATTCAAAGCCCAGGCTGCCTTTTATATTGCTCATTTAATCCCCTCCATGGCAACCGGGGAAAGCATTTTTCTTTTCTTTCTGCCACAACAATTATTTAAATATCCACAAAAATAATCAGTTGGTGTCCTGGTTTTCTTTTGGAGTGGTGTGGTGTTTTCTTTTGTGGGTCATCTGTCTGAATGGTGCTTAAGATCTGTGGACACAAAAAGACAAAAGCCGCTGAGGCCAGTCAGAGAAAATCTCCTTCACAGCTAAACCACTCCAACCACTATTACTTAAATAGATTTCATCAGCTGACTGCCAGCTCCGAGGGTGATGATTATCAGTTGTTCTCACCCTGAATCTGATGTGTGGCAGTAGTTTCCTCTCTGCTTGTGTCAAACCTGCCGGACAAGCCAGATCTGCAGGTGTCTGTTGTTGTGGCACTTGTGCACCTGCCTACTTAGCTAAGAATAAGGTTTGACTTAAGCATCTGTCAGCCACACCATGATCTACCCTCTAATTATCTCTGAAACCCCTCCCTGCGGGGCTGCATCATCGGAGGTTTGCAAGAAAAGTCGAAATGTGACATCTTACAAGCTCACAGATGTGTAAAATGTCAATATGCTTGGAATCTGATTGTCTTTTACAGTTTGTGGTCTGCTAATGCACAAGTCTGTCTTTTCATTTTTGAATTGACATGACCGCTTGGAGACTTTTATCCGCCAGTGGCGCCTGCTGGGCTGATTTCACATGCTGGATGTCTCACATAATGATTTGTAACTAGTCCTGCCAGCCCTGTGACCATCCTTTCTCCCTGGTGAGCAAAAAGCATTCACACGTGTTTAAAATAGGGCAATTTCACTCTGTGGTCCGGCCTCTGTGATATATGGGACCCCTGGGCCTTCGTTTTTATGGCTCTCTGGACCCTTTGTGCGTTGACAAGGGCTCAGCGGTTACAGTCAGAGAAGAAGAATGGGTTTGTTTTGTAGGCTCTCGGTACAGTCCCAGGTTCTCCTCACCCCCCGGAGACATGGTCCAAAATGTCAGCCTCATCATCAGGAACGAATAAATCGGGAAGATTATGCTGCATTATATAACTGTCTGGGACACTTTAAGATATATGTGCAGTGTGTTTTTTATGTTAATGTTGATGAAAATGTTGTCAGTGACTGTATTTGTTTAGAATTTCACTCTTTCTACATTCTAAAATTAGTAGTAAATATAGACCTACAGCAATTAGTCGATCAACAGAAAATGTAATAGAACCTATTGTAATAATAGAATAATTGTGAATTTTTAGGCATTGGCCTTAGCTTCTCAAATGTAAAGATTTTAGTTTTTTGTAGACAAAGCGATTAAGAGAATAATCAGCAAGTGAATTGATAATGAAAATGTGTTTGTTACAGCCCTAAAGTAAAGTTTCAAGGGAAAATCTCTAATTGCAGGAGCGTGATACCGCAAGACTTGACCTGAGTCTCGTCAACAATCAGAAAAAAAGAGTTTTCTTTCTCCAGGGAGGCTGCAGAGTACAAGCTGTTGCATGCAGCAGATCTCCCTTTGAATACAACTTCCCCACTCGTTGCCACACACTCACAAAAAGAAAAGAGTCAGTGAGTGTTTTATGCTCCTGTCCACTGATAACACCTGCTGCTCTCTGTGTTTATGCTGGCAATTGGTGAACATAACTGCCTTTGACCTCAGTGGATGTTTACAGGGTGTTTCTGTGGAAAAAAAAAGTTTAAACTACAAACAGAGTTCACAGTGCACACCTGATTTTTTTTTTCTTTTAATGCTGAGTCTGTCATCATTCTCAGAGGTATTTACTCTCCTCGCATTTACACAAAGCATTTCCCGTATGATTAAGTTTCAAAGGTATCAGCAAGGAGGTAATGAAGAAGAAGTCTGTGAACAGTCCAGGGCCAGTTTTCCCTTCTAAACTGACACTTGAGAAACAGAGTTATCTACACAGTTGCAGTGACAGTTGAGTTATGGCCTGCAGACTTCAGCCTTTGACAGTGAATATTCACACACAAGGCCAGGGAGCAGAGAGATAAGAAGTCTCTTGTTTGTTTTATAAAATAGGAAACTTTTGTTACTGGATACGGCTATAAATAGCTGGCCATTTTTGGCTCTGAAAGGATGAGAAAAGAAAAGCAGTGAACTTTTGAGATGAGCATATAAACTTCACCAAAGTCTATTTTTGGTCTGTGGCCTTTAAGTTTGTTGCTCTGGAACAATAATTCACAGTAAATGGGACACACTTTCAGATGTATTTCAGCAAACATTTACATCACTTTTAGAGTTGAAATTGAGTTCAGAGTATTTCCTTATTAAAGAGGAT